TGTTAGGAACGTTCTAGTGACCAGTTGAAGCTAAGTCTCAGCATCTGGTCCTTGGGTCAATTCCTAGGTCAACCTCAGTATCTCCAGAATGATTTTATTTTTCTTTAAAAAACCATTAATTCATATTGGGGGGTATTTTCCTTCTGTTGTGAATTTCCTTTCTCATAAAAATATTCTGAAAACAAATCACCTAAAAGCATGGCTTGTTCCCACTGGTTTATTCTTTATTATTTGGTCCTTGAATTTTTTCTTCCTGAAGCACTAGTTGCTTCACTAACCAACATCTGGATGGAGCATTTCATACTTGAGGTTAACAACTTTATTATTTCATTGTATTCTTGAGCCTTAGCTCCACTCTCTAAAACTTTCTCCAAATATTTTCCATCACTAAATTAGTTATGTGATGAGCTCCTTTCTTAGGCAAAAATTGAGATATGCAAATATTAAATGCCTAATTTCAATGGGCAGAAGGACTGGCTAACAGAGTTCTGCAGAGGTTCTGAGAAGCAACACACCTCTGATGTGCATATTGAGGCAAACAGAAAAAAATCCTATTTTTCAGACTGATGAACAACACGTGACACCAAACCGCTACTATTAGTAGAAAGGTTTATAAGATGCAATGAAAAATTTTCCTCTTAGCAGCAAATAGACTTAAAGTGTACTCTAATATTATTTATAAGCAATTCTTAAACTTCATAATATTCAGCATATAGTGAAGACATGATACCACCAAGGGTACTATATAATTCTGTCATTTCACTCCAAGTGGAATTACAGGTAACTGTAAATAAAGAGGGTTTAGGCTATATCTGATATCAACATGAAAGTGTACATGCAATTAACCATAATTTCTAACATTTATTGAGCACTTACTATGTGTCATGCCCTTTATCAAGCCCTTTGCATGTATTATCTCATTTAATCCTCACCTTTATGAAATATCTGAAACCATTTACAGATGAGAAATCTGGACCTTTGACAGGTCATGTAATTTGCTCAAGATTCTACAGTTAGCCAACTGGTGGGCCAGAATTTGAACTCAAGCCATCTAAATCCAGATCCTGAGCTCTTAACTGTAAAAAACCAGAAGAAAAATAAGGCTCCATTTCTTTCTCCTTTCTTTACCTCTCACCTTTTCCATACACACATACAAAAAAGTGAAAATCCAAATTATTTCATCAAAATAATGGATCTGAGATCTAATTCAGAGTAGGACTTAAAAAAAAAAAGACCAAGGGAAATAAAGTAAAAAGTAGAAATGTTCTTAACCAAATCTAGTTAACATGCCCACTGGATCACTGGATTAGCCAATGCTCCATCCCCTCCAGAAGCAAGACTGATGCAAGTTTCACTCCTATTCCTACACATTTTTGGTTAAACAACTTTTGATTAACCTATCAACTAGATCCCAATTATGTCAGATGACAGGAATTACACCACAGGTATTTTTTTTTTCTAGGCCTGTTACATGAATCTATAAGATTTATAGTACATATTTTTAAAAGCAAAAGAAATTTAAAACAATGCAAAACAATCCACAAGAATAAAAGGGGAACAATTTGGCTTTTAAGCCATATACCCAGTAAATCTAGTCAGTTCAACAGTGTATCTCTAAGTCAAGGAAATCAGTGAATGACACTGCTGGAGAAAAACCTGAACTTACTATAAAGTACAAGCCCATTTCCTATGGAAAATACAATAATTTATTTCTTCAGCACAAGCTTTCCAGCAAAAAATGCCATTGAGCAGAATACCTTGCTGTGACTGGCTGCATGCTCTACCCAACAGAAGATATACAAGCAAAGAGGAAACAAGCTGTCTAGAAAAAATATACAATTTCCTTTATTTCCTCTTCTAAGTAGAACAACTCTTCTTTGGGGACCATATCAGGGACTTGTAACAATTCACTACACAATATTTTCCATTCTTACAGCCAGAAAAAATTAGAAACTAAGAGAGTCCATGAGAATGGCCCAGCTATTCCCACAAAAGCAAAGATTTCTGTGGTGGACCCCTCGCATGGGCTTCTTACCCAGCATGAAGATCAGATGCCTGGAATCCAGATCCCCTCAAAATGAGCAAGAACCCATTAAGAAGAAAACATACATATCCTCTGGTAGCTCTGTATTGTACTCCAGCTTGGCTAACACATCAGCTGTGTGAGAATAACTGGTGAGAAATACAGCTGTAAAGATAGATAGGTGCAAACTATGAAGTGCTAGGACAAGTTGTAATTAATTCACTGGCCAAGTGCAGAACCATAGAAAGCTTCTGAAAAGAGCAGTGATATGGCTATAACCTATGCAGGTTAACTGGCAAACATTATAGGACAGCCCAAAGGTAGAAGAGAGAAAAAGCAGAGAGACAGTTAAGAGGCCCCACTTGATGGAGGCTATTTTGCTGGTTACTTTCATTGTATTTGCTTGTAATTTATTTTATTTTATTTTAGCCACACTAATCCCATGACTTCAAAGAGCTCATCTATTTTCAATTATGTTGCCTATTAGAAAGATTATACAAGTCTTTCTTATTGAGTAGTACAGCAGGATGTGATGTCTTTTCAGAGTTCTGATGCTTAGAAAATGGCAGAACTATATTTGATATGTATGCCAGTATCAACTCAAGTCAATGGTGTGCTCACTAGAGTATAACTGAAGTAGCACTTTATGACTTCTAAAACTAAGTCAAAAAAGGCCTTGCAGCTTCCTCCTCAGTTATCAGAACACTCTCTCTGGGAGCCCTGAGTACATATAAGAAGGCTGACTACCCTGACACTGCCAAGCTGGAGAGGCCACGAATGGGTGGTCCAGAGGACACTCCCAGGTACAGCCAGACTTCCAGCCAATCCTGCCAAAGCACCAGACCTGTAAGTGAAGAAGCCTCAAGATTCTAGATCCCAAGTATTTAGTCACCCTTAGATGCTCGAGTCCTTCCAACTGAGACCCAGACATCCTGGAGCAAAAACAAGCCCTTCTGCTCTGCCCTGTCCATGTTTTTGACCAACGAGCGTAATAAAATAGTTTTTTTTTTACACTATTAAGTTTTAGGGTGGTTGATTAAGCAGCAATAAATAACTGGAACCATTTGGACAACAAGGGAGGTGATAAAACTACTGTTATAAAACCCATACCTAGAATATGATACTTAGTTCTGGGTGACTTAGTTCCAAAGATTTAAAAAAAAAAAAAAAAGTGCTCAGAAAAGATGTTCCTTTATGGGGGGGGGGGGGGGCGACGCGGGGGGGGGGGGGGGCGACGCGGGGGGGGGGGGGGGCGACGCGGGGGGGGGGGGGGGCGACGCGGGGGGGGGGGGGGGCGACGCGGGGGGGGGGGGGGGCGACGCGGGGGGGGGGGGGGGCGACGCGGGGGGGGGGGGGGGCGACGCGGGGGGGGGGGGGGGCGACGCGGGGGGGGGGGGGGGCGACGCGGGGGGGGGGGGGGGCGACGCGGGGGGGGGGGGGGGCGACGCGGGGGGGGGGGGGGGCGACGCGGGGGGGGGGGGGGGAAAAAAAAAAAGGGGAAAAAAAATGTTTTCTTTGGGGGGGGGGGGGGGGGAGAAAGAAAAAATTGGAGATATTCAAACCAGAAAAGAGAACAAAGAGTATGTGTTAATTGTCCTCAAATCTCTGAAGGGCTATCACCAGTACAAATGAAAACAATTACTCTGTATATTCCCAGGAGGGAGGTCTAGAGACAGTGACTGAAGTTACAGGGAGTGCGCTGGAAGAATTTTCTAATGTTCAGAGCTTTCCAGGGAGCAGGAGGCAGCCTTAAGAGGTAATGAGTTTTCTAACATTCAAGGTAATCAAGCATAGGCTAGATGATCACCACCTGGTGGGTAGGTTTGGAGAGAATTCATTTATTGAACAGAAGGTTGGATGAAATGCCCTTACTTTAAGGTTACACTGTAACACTGAGATGTTTTTAATCTAAAAATCATCCCCATTTCCTTGTGCTAAGAAATCTAATCCCAACACATGTTGCACAGAGGAAAAAAAAAATACAAGATGAATAAATTAAATGAAAGGCAATACTGAAGTATAAATAGAAAGTGATGCAGAACTCTAGAAGAGAAAGGAATGATAAACTAACAGGAAAATACAACCCAGCATAGCGGCAAAGAAACATAAAAAAGAAAATGAAGCATGAAGAATAAGCCAGAGAAGAGGGAAAAGGATAGCCAAAGAACGCATCACTGACAATATTGGAAATAAAGGGTGCCTTCACCCTTCTTGAGAAATAGTTTTATTCATTTTTAAGACTTTTCTCCTCTGCCAGTGAGAAAGACCAGAAGAACATGAGTAATGTAGGGAGAAAGGGAACAAGTTTCAAGTGGTAAAATTAGCGAATCTCTTAAGTGATCACTGAATTTCTGGCCTCAAAAGATACAGGACCTGTGTGCCCCTGGGATCAAGTGCACTCACATAGAAGCAATTGTCTCTAACATCAGTATTTAGAGCATGACTACTAAGGGAAACAAGAAAAACTGGAGATTAAACATTTGTTTCCTAACAAAGCCAATGTGAAAAAGAAAACACAAATCACCTAGAAAATGAGATGTGTCCAAAACAAAGCTATGGAGGAAACAAACAAACAAAAAATAAAATAAAATAAATAAAAAGTTATCTCATACACATTTCACCTGAATTTTATCACCATTTGTAATCAATTTCCAAGGTTTCATAATACCCTTTAACCTTAGTCACTCAGCCTACTGAACAAGTCATTTCATTGTTATCCGATTTGAAGGAAGAGTGGAGACCCTTTGATGTTGATAACACCAAAAAAGGAGTCACTTTCAGGAAAGGAAAGTATTTTGCATAAACACCTGGAGCCTGATGGTAAGAAGTGGTGTATTTGTACAAGTAATTTATCACTTGTCTTAACCCTTTCAAAGATTCATCAAACCAGAAATTAGAAATTCATGAAATAAAATTTTCATTTAAAAAAACAATTTGTTTTATAAGAAAAGAACAGAAATGATATCTTATTACTCACCCATTTCCTAGGTCTGCCTCTTGGCCGTTTTTCTCCAGTGGCTTCTGCTTTCTGCAAAATGAAAAAGGAAGTTATATAGTTTCCTATGTGACATTATTTATAAGTGCTGCACCAAGGGACACATTTCAAGTAAGAATGTTCTGGTTTGCAGATGAGGTATCAGGATTGTTTTAACAACCTCTTTCTCCTTTAAGCTTCATCTTCTTCTGCATTTTTGAGTAGATTCTTCTCTGTTTTTCATTGCATGATGTAAGGAGCTATTTAGGTAACTTCTCACCCTAAAAGGCTCCCCTGGAGTAATCTCTTCTGAAATGCATGAAAATGCTTTTTAAAAAGCTATTTTGCTTTTATTTCTGTTCGTAATTTTTAAAAAATGATCCCCACATTTCATAATTACGTAAATTAATATTTCAGAAAATTAATGTTTCTTAAATTATAAGATTTCTTTTCCAAGTCACAACTAAAATTATGAAAAGTAATATTGATATATTGCTTTACAATTTACAAAGCACTTCTACCTGTATTTCTAGTCAAAAGCAAGTCTAAATATAAAAAGAATACATAAGAATTCTAATTCAGAATAACAAACATTTGCACACTTCTACATGGTTAATTTCCTGTTTCTTTCCAGAAACAATCACCTGTCAATCAGTTCACCTAAAGCAGAGAGGGGGAAAAAAAAAAGCTCGTGGAAATAACCAATGTTCCCACGATGTAAATTAGGGGTGCCTAAAAAAAATAATTAATAAAAAGTGTACATTATTAACAATAACTCCACAGTCAACATAGACCTGACATGAATATATTTCTATTTTGAGAGTTCGTTTCATTGCTTTACTTTACAGAAGACTTTTCTGGTATCATATCACAGTTGTTTTTTCCCTTTTGAATCAAATTTTAACATTATCTATAAAGGAATTAGCTTATTTGCTATTTTTGTCCAATCCCCAAACACACCCATACATACACATACATCACATACACATTCTATAAAAACTTGTGTTTACACCTTTTAGGATAAAGAAAACTTGGTACCTATTGTTCTGTGTATGAGAATCATCCCAAGGTTATATCAACACAAAAATATAATCTGAGCCAGGATAACTTGTTTTGCAGTTTACTTTTGTTATTTGGGTAGGTGCCAATGGGTATTTTGTCCAGTGATTCTAAAATGACATGTTATAACGGTCTACACTGCCAAATGAAACTTTCCCCTTTCTCTCTTCAATCTGCCCGGTAAAACAGATTGATACACTTGCAGAAGAAAGTTAACAGACAGATAGATAATAGATCAAATAAGCCTTAAGATTTCTCACCAAATAATATCTAGCATTATTATCTCACACGTCTTATGAATTAACCTAAACTCTGCATGATTGTAATGTTAGCTCACATTTATTGTGCATTTAAAATACCCCAGGCACTGCGCTAAGTAGATTCTTCTTCAGTCACGTGTTACTTTAATCCTTACAGCAGTCTTACAAAGTAGGCATTATTAATTCTCTTATTTTGTAGATGAGAAACTAAGTCTTAGACAGGTTAAGTAAATAACTCACTCAAGGCCATACACAAAGCGGGTAAATGACAGGCCTGGGATTTGAACCCCGTTATATGACTCTGAAGACTGTGCTCCTGTCCTCTTCACAATGCTACCTCCCTTGTACTATACAAGCATTTGCTACCCTAGAAAATATTTTAGAAAACTAAAATTGTCACTGACTCAGCTGAAACACCAGAACAAAAGGAAAGCTGGTAGCCTTCAGGAGCTCTGTCTAACCCTGAGATTTGGGCACTATGAATCATTGTTTATTAGTACTTTTGAGTAGCTCCACAAAATAATTATTTATTGTCAGGGGTTAGTGGCACTGTCTTACCTTCATGATAAGGGCTTATCTTACCTTCATGCCCGTACTGTGTAAAGGGCCTGAGATATATTAAGTAAAAGCCAGGAGTAAATCACACCTTCTCTCAGAGTGTTGTCTCATGGAGAGAGGAAAGTGCCCTGAGAGGAACACAGACTCTACTTTGGAAAGCTTAAATTCGAATCCCTGCTCTGCCATTTTAGCTTTGTCATTCTGGGCAGATCCCTGAAAACCTTAATTTGGTTTCATCTGTAAAATAGAGAAAACGCCTCCTGTGAGAAGTCACCAAGAGCACTTGGAAGTGCTTGCCATAAATGAGGTGCTCAATAAATGTTCTTTCACTACTAACAAGATGGAACCCTTACAGGGAAGTTTTCCTTCAAGTTAGTCCAATCTCAGAGAAAGTTCAATCAATGTAAATATTCCATTACATCCACCTGTCACCTTTAGAATGAGGCTTTTAAAAAACCCTTTGGTTAGTGCATAGTGAGTTATATGAGTAGAAAATTCCCTAGTACAGAAGCAGCATCCGATTTAATCTTTGGGGGCAATTGTAAGATTGCAGTTTACTTGGTAGTAAATTGCACAAACATGGAAGATAGAAATCCTTTTTAGTGGGAATGGAGGTGGTAGGTGGGATTGAGGGGAGGAGGCTATTGACCTTAAAGGTTAACAGTGCTGCACCAGGTTTTTTCTGTACAGTTGTTATGTTATATGATCTGGTGTATCTGAAATCTATTGAAGAGAGTAAAAGGGTTTCACTGCATTTCAAAGTCAGAGAAAGCAAATCTCTCAAAGAAAGAGAAAGCCCTGAAAATAAGATGACTTTTAAATGAGCATCTCGTCTACAAAAAGCTTATTGAGAAAGAAAAGTCACACCATTAACTAAAGGGCAAAATATCATGATTATCACTTGGACTTTTTAAAAGCAAACTTGCTCCTTGGTCGTTCAGGCCAGTGTTACATGTAAACTGAAACCCTCTTCTGAGACTACATCTAGAAGAGACACATTAGCTGTGCTGTGTGGCGTCGATCTGGGAGGTTTCCATTGTTCTTTAAAATCCACATTATTTAGCCATTCTAATCAAACTCCACAAAGGCTGCAAAACAAGTTAGGACTTTAGTTTGTAAAACAGCACAGATCCAGGATTTTTACTTATTGGAAAACACTGGCATTGTTTTCCTGTGTTTAATGCTCTTCAGGATATTATTTTGCAAAGAAGACAAAACATTCAGGGGGCTTGTTGTGTTTTAATATGTCAACATATGCAATATTTTAGAAGCGTATATTTGGTTTTCCTTTGCCAGGATAGAATTTGGTTCTATGCTACAAATGTATAATTGAGACATAACTAGTTCTAAGTATTTATTGCTTATATAGAAGGAAAAAGGGGAGAGATGTTCAGAATTCTGCATTTGTAAAAACTGAAATTTCAGATTATAATCAGCACTATTATGCTAATATTCACAACTATCATATCGTATCTTGTTAAAGTGCTGTTTCTTCCTTGCTTGTCTTCATATTTCTTATTTCTTTTCTAAAGTTTAGATTCAGAACTGATACTTAATTTTATAATATGTTTAGAAGCATGTTCATGAGAGTTGGGATGAATGTTAAACAGAAAATATAATTATTTCTTTCTCTAAGAAGTTCTGGTACGCCAGGCTTTTAAATGTACTTCACATTTAAAAAGTTAATTATGAAAGAAAATTCATCTAGTAAATATATCTCTTGAACTTGAAAACAGTGCTTAACACTGGTTCCTGGTATACAGGAGGTGCTCACTATGTATTTGTTAAGGAAAGAAGAAAGGAAGGAAGGAAGGGGAGGGACTGGTGTTTATATTATTATACATATGTCTTATTTCCCTCTTGCCATCAGAATTTTGGAACTTGGTAAAACTTTAGAAATTACTTTTAGTCCTCTCATTTAACAAATAAGAAAACTTCTGGATGTGCTATAACCCCCAAAGACATTGTGGTTGCACACATTTCTAATCCCTTTACAAGCTTATAGAGAGCAGCCTTCCAAAGGCGTCTCAAAACCTAACTTCCAACCTGCATTTCAGATCACTGGAGATAACAGAAATCTGCCTTATGGCAAATATTTAACATAATATTTGACATTACATAGTAGTGGGAAAGGTATAAGCTTTAGAATTAGAGGTGAATTCAAACCCAGGTGCCACCATTTACTAGAGTTGAACATTAGATATGTCATCTTTAAATGAGTTTTCTCACTTGTGGAATGAAGGCAACAATGCGTACATCAGAGCATTAAAGAAACTAATATATATGTAAATGCCTGACAAAGCTATGGCATTTAGCAGGTACTCAAACGTAATTTGTTCTCTCTCCCCTTATTTTAAAATGCTACCCTTAAAAAGAGTACCTACCAGTTCCATAAGTTTCCTCAGTGATTTTCTCAGCATTATCTTACTTAAGTAGGGTAGCTATTACTTCCCCAGTTTCACAAAAGGGAGATTAAACAGCCTGCCCATGTTCATAAGTAGCAGAACTGAGACAGAATCTGATTTCAAGGCAGGAAGGGGTCTGTTCTTCAGGGAGATGTTCTCACATAAAATAAAATTGCCATGGGAAAATTTAAAAAAAAAAAAAAGAAAAAAGAAAACCTTCTAGGGTGAAAATCAAATTAGTTAAAAGTAAAATATTTCCAAGTTTTCTATAAAGACATGGACAAGAGCAGAAGTTGGGAACCAAAAGAATAATTCAATTCTGACTTCAGGGTCAAATTTTAAGTACAACCATTTTTAGTCTTGAAAAGATGTTACAATTTGCTATCACAATATATTTTTCAATAGGAAATATAAGTAAATTCCATTGTCCATTGTAGTTCATGCTTATTTTACCCAAGGAAGCTCTAATTGTCAACTTCCATGTCATTATTTTACATATGCCTGTCTTCATGTATACAAACACTAAATTAAAACCAAGGCCAAAATGACAGGAAATGTTCTCATTTTCAAAGTATAAGATTCTCTTCCTCCAAATCTTCCCTCTACCCTTTTGTAATCAGAAAAATCAATAGCAATGATACAAGAGTTCACGAGGGTTACTTTCTGAGCAAACTGTCCCCTACATTATCTCAGATAAAAGGTTGACTGCATGATGCTTCACTAAATCAAACAGATATGCCACTCAAAACTGTTCAGGGTATTAAAGCAATATAAAATAAAGCAACAGCCTAAAATACAGTCAGTTCTCCATTCATCTTTTTCTCCTGGTTGGCAAAACAAAGATTTATAACTAAAAACTTCAGAATCTAGGACAGTGAAATTCAGTTCCCACTCTTGTGTCAAACTATGGATGAGCTCTGGAAACTGCAGAAAGTCAACTAACAAGACAAGACAGGTTTGAATTATTTAACTGACAAAAAATGCTCTTCAACATCCATCTATTCTCAAGAAAGAACTGAAATGCAATAGAATACCAATCTGGTATATTCTATCTCCTTAGCAAAATGATCTGTTGAGACCTTGAGATAAAAATGAGCCAGAGATGGAGGTCAGCCAAAGTAATGAGAAATGTTCAAGTTCAGAAGAGTTCAGAAGGATGATAGTTTCCACAGAATTAGAACTATGGGTCCCTTGAAATAAAGTTACTTCATAAAATAATTCAAATGTGTTTGAATCTCCCATATTTGGATCATCTGTGATGATTCAAAGACATTGCCAGACAGAATTTACCGATGCATTAAGTAAGGCTTTGTCCTCCCTGGCAAAGTGAAGTAAAAAAAATGAGTCGATTGTTTAGGTAAATCATCCTAAAAATATCAAGATGATGGAGACAACAGTTGGGCTTTTCTTAGTTCCACCTGCTTGAATGCATTTGTATACTGAGATAGGACCTGAATCCCACATGGAGCTTACCTGCCCTTTAAAACACAGAGGAATCAAACTAAATAATACTAGTAGGGTAGAAACCATAGGTCAGAATTACATGACAATTTTCAATGTCATTTTCCCTGACCTACCTATAATGATGCGTTTGATTACACATTTCATCTGGGTCTACCACATTCTGAAGAAAATCTTGTCTTCACTCAGCATCTGTGCTGAATGATTTATCTGAAATGGTGAGTAAAACCCACATTCCCTCTTCCTGAAGTACCTGTGATTGCTGTTAGCAATAATTTATGAAAAATCAGCCACATTTCTAAGAATGCAAATAATTAGAAGGAGAATGAAGCAGTCTTTACGGTACCCAATTAATATCAGGCCTTCTTTTTAAAGCAAATTGAAGATAGAAATTAAATATTTATTCTGAACACGCCATTTGAACTATAGCTACTTAACCTAGATGATATTTTCATTCTTTCCTCTGCTCTTTAGGTCTAGCCATTACACCTAAGGTCAAAAGGAGGGTCAAGCAATTCTATATTATAAAGTAGGGTTATCTTACATCTAAGATCTTTTTTTATATTCATTTTTCTTTTATTAAAATTTAACTCAACCTCAGAAAAAATTTTTTCCTAAAAGCACTCGAGAATTAGCTTGAAAATTGAAGATGAATTTAAACTTAAACACTGAAGAATCAGTGACAACCTCTTCAGTATTCTCTAATGATGAAAAAGGAGCACCAAAACCCTAAACTAAACATGAAGATTATATCTTCCTTCTCTCCAAACTCAGGAAAAGTGAAAATACAAAATATTTCCATCCAGCACAACCATGAGAGGAAAACAAAACAAAACAAAAAGGAAATTAAGAGACAACTGGTCATAGGTACGTCTAAAAATAAAAAATATATAAAAGTGTAAAGCTAAATATATATACTCACACATACACAGATTAATTATTCAGGAAAACATTAACTTCTGATTACTTTTCTTTTATTAAGGTAATAATATGAAACTGGTTCAGGAACAAATTTTGAGCAATCAGATTGGAGTTCTCAGGTATAACTAATTGTCACATAATGGTCACCCATGGGGATTAGTTTTAATGGAATATAAGTAGATTGAAGAATAATTATCTTCTCTTTCAAAAGTTCCAAGCATAACAAATTGTATTTTTATAATTTGTTTTACATACTGCATAAATTAGTGTTTCTATTGAATATGGTCTGAAATTAACATGATGGCTAATTTAGTAGTTGTCCACTTGGTTTTGCAACATTCTGCATGCATTGTCAAGTTTCACACTGTTAATTTTCTAACAAGCAGTTTTGTTTCCAAATGCCCCAAGGCCAGTTACTGAGTCCAAACACAAACTTTGTAAGTAAAGAAAGTCTAAGCAGCAAGAAATTTTAAACATACCACATCATCAGGATCCCAGTACTTTGCATCTCTAATTTTAGACTTCATTTCTCTAATATACTTACCAGTTTTTGTAATACATTTTTCATTGTGATGAGTCTTAGTTTGCAGGAAAACACACAATTTATTAATCATAGAAGACTTTATATCTATCCTGGTCAGTCAAGCAGGGTACGTTTATGCCACATGTTATGAATAATATAACTTTTTCTGAAATGATTTGCATTTCAAAATCCTCACAAACATATGTTTTGTTAGAGTACAGTATATGCTCGATAAACAAATGTTTGATAATTATGTTTATACAGAGTAGTAACATACTCAATAAATACTGATTTGAAAGTGAAAATACCTTATGTTTACACATGCCATGAACAATTCATCAATGTCATTCATTACTTTGCAGAGTATTATCTTCTCCAAATGAAGCGTAATTTATAAAACTGAAGAAAACAACAGTCATGTTATAGGCAAATGTATTTATTCATTTTTATTAGAAGAGGAACTTTTATAATGGAATTGTATACAACAATTGCCTGGAAGAATGAAATCTTTCAGAGAAGGACTTCTTTGAAAAAAGAAAATCTACTTATTTTTTTGGAAATTGTAATAATATATGAATACACATGAATTATCAGGAAGATGAGTGGCCCAGTAGGATCACTTATAAATGCCTATCACTAAAGTCACTAAAAGTAAATAAAACCTTACATGGGAATAGATCAACTTTTTTTGTTATTTTGCTTTAGACAGTAAATTAGGCACAAATCTCAGCTTTCCTTTTGTCAATAAAGATTTTGTTAGTCAGTGGTAAACTTTTTAAAACGAAGAGAAGGTGATGGGAGCATTTCTATCTACTCATTAAAAAAACGTAATACAGTGGAATCTGGAAGATAATTAAGTTTTCCTTTTTTGTATTAAATTTTAATAATTTATTTATGATTTAAAGATTTCTTCCTGGGAGATATTCTGATGACACATTTTTCAGAGCAATTACATCATAGCTTAAGTGTTAGCTAGCTACCAAAATATTCCTTTGCCACTTCTTTAGAGTAAAAACATACAAAAATTTTGAAAAAATTAGTCTTTTTTAGTTAATTTATAAACCAGCAAAAATGGAACAAATAAAATGTATTCATATTAGGAACACCAGATTATATATTGACACTTTTGTTATTACAAGGTTATTTAGAGCTACTTTAAAGTTTATTGATTAAATTTAAACCACAATTAAATATAAACTGCAAGAGGCAGCTAAATTTAAATATGTTAGAAATCTGTTCCTTCAACTGTGTTCAGAACTGTTAAAATAAAACAGACGAGAACTCAGTTACTTTCTGAATAACTTTATATGTACCAGTAGTTGCTATGGCAGTTTACAACACTGAAACTATCACATGTAATATGGTCAATGCCCACAGTCACAGAGAAAACCACACAAAATATCAATTCCAAAAAGATGAGCATATGGTCCTTTTTAACAAATATTGTACATGGTGTATTCAAATCTATTGAAAAGACATATCAAAATGTACTTTTGATTTTTGAACCTTTGTTCTCAACTACATAACCTATAAATTAAATGCAGAAACTTTTTTTCCAATTTATTTATAAAGCCAAAGTGTCTACCTTTTATATTCATCTTCACTTTATACATGTATTGACTCTGAGATATTTCCTCTTTGCTAACTCAAATACAACCAACATGAAGTTATTTTAAACTGCAGTTTAAAATTTATTAAGAAAAGCACTAAATGTTACACCTGACTGGGTTCCATCCTGCCCCAAAATATATACTAAATGACTCAAATATTTGTTTTAAAAATTTCTCATTGTCCAATTCACAGTATTTCTATATCACTTAATGGAAAGGCTTTTTGAGACTATGATATACTATTTTGTAGGTTTATTGTAAAACAAACAGTATGCTTTATCATCACATTTAAAGCTGTAAAATCCATAAAATTTTTTCCAGGATCCCATAATGGGATTTACTTCTAATTATCATCTATTTGGCAAAGTACTTTAATAGGGGGATTTGGTCTGCAGTACCCATGTAAAAAGAGCACAAAGTAAATTAACCTCTATTATTCTTCAGAAGAAACTGCAAAACCTTCACCACCAGGCACAATCTATAGTTCGGATTTGTTTTTAACTATTTTACAACTGGCACAAATATTAATTGTGTCATTCTCCACACACACATACACCTTCCCTCCCTGCTCCCTCCCTACCCATATTTTAAGGTTCATATTATTTGTTGGTGGATTGTTTGTTTGTTTGTTTGTTTGTTTAAAAATAACTCTGTAAGTATCTTCATGAACTTTTTATTCTAGGCATGGGCTTAGAAAAAAGATGAACTTCTATATAACTAATGTTATATGTAGGAAATTCGTCTGGGGTTACCCAGTTGGGACAAATCCTTAGGTGTGAATTTAGAATGGGAAAATTACATAGAAGTTCCACTAGTCATTGATAAAGTTAGGAGAGCTTGACTTGAAAAATCTCACCTTTTGAGCTGCTTTAGAAGGACTCTTGTTTTTGCTGCCTTTAGGTCTTCCCCTGGGTCTCTTAGGAGAGGGCTCACCGGTTGGCTCCTAATTGTGGGAAAAAAAATGCTGTTGTGGCAAGAAAGTCTGAAAGAAATTGACCCCGACTCTTTAGCTATGTTTTCTACATGCGCTGCCCGACAGAACTGTTGGAACACATTCAGTTCAAGCATAAGTGGATGATGATGGTACACAGTTTACAGAAAGGGGAAATATCCATACTTTTAATCCAAGGGTTCAAAGAGGAAACTCTGTTTTATATATGAAAACTAGATCCTATTTCAAACCTAAAATGTTAACAAAGGCCGTAAAGGTTGCATGTTTTAGAATGAAAGTCATATATTTTCAAGGCATAAAGTTAACATGGCTATGCATTTGGTAACTCATAGAAATAATAAGCATTTTATATAAATACCACTATCCATTACACTAGCATTTCAAACAACATAAATATGAAGCTAACATCATAGATATTTCAACAATCTTCCATATTGTAAAGGTAGGTTTTAATCATCTCTTTATACCTGCATTCCAGGTCGATTATGACTCAATCGACACATTGCAAGTGAAATATTGGAGCAATTATCCAAAATCTTCAGTTCAAAATGACTCCATTTCCCCTAAAATTTCCAAGTAATTATGGTAAATCTATGGTAGGAGGTTTTGCTTGAATTTTCTGGATAATTGCTTCAACTCTCCACTTCCTTTTGGAGATGCAACTATGTACTCCAGTCTAAATTTAAATATCTTCTCATAAAAATAAACACATTTTCTTCAAAGCTTTCTTTTGAGGAAATTCTTATGGGGGTAAACTAGTGAAAACTAAAAAGGGGGAGGGGAATGAGGAAGAATGAAAGTGTCTGGGAAGGAGAAATTGAAACAATCACTAGGTTTAACAAAATTTTAAATGGCTCCTATGCCAAGCAGTAAATACTCAAGTGGTTAAGAGAATGTGATGATTAATATTCCAGATCCTAAATATTTATCCAGTGAATCATCTATTCACATTTCATTCGGATTCGGTGATTAAGTGAGACTAATTAACTTACAACGCTTGAAAGTCCTCAATGAAAACTCATATACTATTTAGAGAATCTGGGGAAGGTTCCCTGCAAGTTTCTGTGGGACCACTAGCTCCGCTGGGCACATTCAGAGCAAACACATAGGAGACACATTTTTCTTTCTTTGTGAACTCTGCCTTAACTCAAAGGTATAACCTCCAATCAACTCCAGATCCCATTGCATTTTCTTTTGTATTTTGGGGAGGGGGGTAATTAGTAGAGTTGGACAGAGCCGGGTGGTGGGTGGGAAACAAGTGGGGAGGGCAGAGACTTCCTAGGAGGTGTAAAACGGGATCCAAACTCGGTAAAAAAGTGTCGCTTGGGTAGAGCGGGAAAATTTAGAGGCCTCTAGATTAGCTTGTTTCCTTTGATGATTTCAAAAAGGTACAACCCTCAGATTTTTTAAAAGGCACTGGCAAGCTAACATTGTTCAATTTCCCCACCTTGCTCTCGAGCAGCTTTGGCACTCTAGGATTATTTTCTAATCGGCCTATTTGCCGTGAAGGGAGCGACTGAAGGTTAAGTAACGAAGGAGAAGTTTTAAAGCCGGAGGAAGTGGAGTTTAAATGTTCTCAATACATATATTCCGCTCCAACCCTGCCCGCCGAGGCTTGGAAATTGCAGCGAACAAAACCCTCAGCCCTGGGCGCTGAGCGCTGCTCTGCAAGCGCCGGCTGCACGCTTAATTGGTTGCATCCGCAGACAAAACCCTCCACTCCGCGGGGTCCCAGGCGCCTCTCGATCGTCCCCTCCCAACCCCCAGCCACTCGCCTGCAGAAGAACATTTAATGTCTGCAGCTATGAGGCGCGGGATCTAGGGGCAAAGGGGAGACGGGACGCGTGGTGAGGAAATTACCCTAGCTACCGTGCACACTCTCGGACACTCCTTTCAACGCGCACTTGGCCGAGGGAGTTAACCCCGACCCGCGAGAGCCCAAGCTCCCCAGTAGCCCCTTCCCCCGGCCACTTCTGGAGGCCGCCGCACCTCATTTAAAGAGCCCTAAGAGGACTGAGCAGTCCGGTCCCAAAGCGTTCTTTGTCGGGAAGGCGCGAGTCTTGGGCCACCGAGAGCTTGGGGAGGGCGCCAAGGGGGTGGCTGCAGCGCGCCAGCCCCCGGCCCGCGAGCAGCCCTGGGAGGCGGCAGAAAGAGCCTCCGGTCCCCGGGACTCTACCTCCTTCAGCCAGGACCGGCCAGAGCACCCTAGTTCCCGGCACCTCCTTCCCACCAGGCAATTGCAAAAGCCCCTCGGAAAGCGCTGGCGAGCCCTGGTTCGTCGGGCTCCGGCGGCTTCCAGTCACCAGGCGACACCACGCCGCTCAGGGCCGGCCGTGCACAATAGCGAAAGTCCGAGGACGCGCTTCGCCCGACCCCACCCCCCGCTTTTCCCCGGCCGCCTGCCGCGGCTCCCCACCTCCGGGCCCCGAGGAGCGCGGGCGCCCCGGGGCTCGGCGGCGCACTC